CCCTGCATACTTTTCTTGTCGCTCTTTTTTGGCATGAGAAAATAGGTTAGGTTAAAAGGTAAGGTCAATGAATAGAAAGCCTCGAGGACGGGACGCAGACCCCGTCCATTGTATCCGTACGTAATATAATTTCAGCGGGGTCTAGCCGGTTTTTTTGTTTTTTCTTCATTATTTGTAATCCCATAAACACCATTACTTCCTGTTGAGACCACAATTTTACAGCACATTTATCGCGGGTTGTGCCATTGGGACAAGAAGCCCGTACAAAGCTCAACTTCAAGGACACATAGCGTCGTCAAACTGCCCTTCCGGCGGTTTTTAATCGCAAAAAAGATTGGGTTGATGAACCAGTTTAGCTCTCGCACGCAACCGCGCGCATCACATGGTAGGCTTAGTGAAACTGGACAACTTGCTGAATATTAGGTCACGTGGCTGAGAAACTAACAGTAAGATGTTTGGAAGATGTGTCACATGAATTTCAAAGGCTGTCCAATTTTGCTGAAGATTGTAGCGTAATGCGCGCAGTAGCATGCGGAATGAAAATGGTACTTATCATGACTTCGTAAACATTTAGCATTGATATCGAGCTCGGATGATTTAGCGGTTTATAGAATTTCCACAATTGAAGAACCGGTGTGTAAGTGAAATATAACCAATCAATCAGCATCTAACCATGATGGAGATTGCAAATATGATGGAAATTCGCTATTGGTCCAAGCCCAGATAGTTGAGCAGCTCAACTTTCTTTGCTTCTTTAGATGAAAGGTTAGGAATGGAACACATTCACGTGCTAGGGAACCTGGTTCAGTTCAACTGAGTGCACGCTCAACTGTCGCTACTTTTATCAGTACAGTTGCCGCTCATACCACTTTCTGTCACCTACATTCAACCCTCGCCACCTTGATCGCTTGCCAGTGATAATTGCAACGAAGTTGGAGAGACCTGCATTCAAACGCTCTTATCATTCCTTGTCATTTGTTATCAGTTCATACTGTTCGCAATCGGTGTCCCGGTCCCAACCTCCAGGCAACGTGTAGGAGCTAATATTTACTGTCACCACGAAGGCTGCAACGAAATTAGCAGTACTCAAAATCCTAACTTCCTTATCAACCGTTATCGCTTGTTATCACTTCTGATCATCCGCTATCCGTGTTCCCGTCCCATCCCCTATACCACATGTGAGAGCCAAGGTTCCAATGTAACCGCAAGGGCCGCAACGAAACTGGTGGTATCCACACTTTGACGCCCCTTATCAGTTCTTATCAGTTGCTACCACATTCGTTCACTCAACTTCTTGGTCCCCGCCTCACCCCACATATCATACATGAGTGCAAACTCTCCACCGTCAACGCGAACGGTGTAACGAAATTGGTGACATCAACATTTCGACGTCCGTTATCAGCTCCTATCAGTAGTTATCACTTTCCCACCCGTCATCAGTGTTCACGCCCGCCCCCTATATATCCTAGAAGTTTGAGCGCTCTGGGATCAAAGGGAACGAAGTTATGAATTTCCGGTCAGACACACACACACACAACCGCTTAGCCGATTATATATAGTAGGATTTCTCAGAAAATTACTGCACGGCGACATTGTTGGAGCTAGAGGATCAAACAAATGACCGGGCAAAAAAGGCATCACTAAGAGTCGCTCAAATTATTACTTCTCGGGGGATTTTGCTCCCTGGGTCTGAATTTTAATTTTTAGGATAATGTGTACTTTTCTCTAATTTCGAGCTGTTATTTTCTGTTTCCACTTTACTACGAATAGTTATGTGCCGAAAAGCCATAGCTTGCCTCGAATGATGACGGTCACAAAAATTCATTATCAGAGATGGGATTCAGCTCAGTTTTTGTGGAAGGAAAGGTGAAAACCGAGGCGAACTTCTTCCAGTCTCCTCTCCTTTCGCCTAACTAACATCATTCCCTACTTTCGCACCGCGCAAAGGAGACACCGTTGGTCGAGCTTACTTCGGTTTCTCAAAAACCACAATGTAGTCTAGTGCACCATTTAGGCGTCGGACGGTAATATCTCGTGGATTGTAATAAAAGTTTTATTTTGTTCGATTTCTAATGCGATGTTTTCGTTTTTTAAATAAACAATTATTTCCTTGAAAACTATTTTTTGCACACAACAAAGCTTTTGTTTTGAATCCACACCAGACCATAGCGCACGTGCGGCTACACTTCACTAAATACCGCGCACACAATTTGTCAACACGTTACAACGTAAGCATCAAAACCTATTAGAGGGTTCACTCACTGGAGCATTCCCCTAGAGGTAAGCAAACCAGCCCTTTTGGCGTTTCTGCTGGGACCGTATGCTGAATGTTGGGGAGGGGATGGGGTCCCGAGGTCGACGGACTACTTCAACTCGGTCGGTACGGTAGGAGAGTGATGACGAAGTGGTGCAGCTGGTCCAGCAGCTCCGCCAAAAGGGCTGGTTTGCTCACCCCAGGACTAAGCCTTGGAGAGGGGACGGACCCGTCCTCTCTTTAAGGCTTAGTTCCTGAGGTAAGCATCAAATTGAGGCGGTTTTAAGGACCGAGTTGAAGTAGTCCGTCGACCGTCGGGGACCCCATCCCCTCCCCAACATTCAGCATACGGCCCCAGCAGAAACGCCAAAAGGGCTGGTTTGCTTACTTCTATTCCCCTATATGTCTTTTGTTTCTGATGAACAAACAACTCACGTAGAAGATCTCCCCAATCGAAACCGAGGAAATAGTGAAGAATAAGAATTTGTAGGGCGGCATTCAACACGAACATGAGCTTCATTACAATATAATTGAAGGACATCCATCCATCACCCATCAGATGCCTTCAGAAGACACCAACTCAGCATGAGCTTCACGACAAACTATCAAGCAGAATGACTCACTGCCAAATACTGCCGACATTTTTATAATTGCGATGAGTGGCACGGTAGATGTGGTTGGCGATCTTCTCGATGCCTTCTTGGCGCTTCTGAATTTTACCCATTTATACTTGGCTTTTTTTTATCATATTATTCAAGAGAACACATGAGACATCAACAATAGTTGTATTTCATTATCATGAATTTACAAATTATTACGAGGACTCATTTAATGGGAAAAATAAATATAATTTAAAAAATAATATTAAATACAAATGGTTCAATGCTAGTCGGGTGGGCACGCCGATTTTTCGAATACGTTAGGAATAAGCGTACATGAGGACTGTTGCCCACTGCTATGATATCACGATTATCGCCGACCAAGCCTTGGAGGGGAGGAACATTTCCGAACCATAGCGAAGAATTTATGAGTCAGTGGGAGTTTAGCCACTTTAGGTGGTGGAAGGGGGGGGGGGCGAGACACGTTAGAACCTGCAATTAGCGAATTATTCTCATAGCTTCTTGTTACGTCATAACAGTGAACACTAGCCCCAGGTACATGCTTCTCGCGTAGTATTTCGTATTCCTTTTAAGAAATAAACAAATCCTCACAACAATGTCTTCCTTCGGCAACTCGTAGCATGCTTTGACGATGGCGCGAAGTTGGATCCCTGAACAAATAATTTGAAAATCGGAATTTTCACCTGGGAAAAATCTGTAAAGAGGTCTCGCAAGGTATCGAGTAGAAGTTGTTCTTTAAAATAGGCTGCTTTTTGCAGCTTCCTATGGTTAGGTACATAAAATAGCCTAGGTGAACAAGGCATCGATAAAATGGCTGCGACAGTACGGCCCCCCCCCCCTAGCTAGCGCAGACCCTGGTTCAACCCTCTTAAAACCTCTACGTACCACTTTCCTAAGGAATCAATTCCCTTCCTGGTCCATGAAGGTAAAATCTCCTGTGATGGGTTGTTACCTGAACTCTTTTGCTGGTTTCCCCTAGAAAATAAAGTATCTGACTCAAATGTCTTGCAAGTCCGTTGCATAAGTCTCGACAACGCGTCCACAACCACCTCCACGAATTGTGAAGGAGAAGTCTATATACGGACAACTCAAGGAAGCAACTTCACCTTCATGCCTTTCCAGGTTATATGTTGAAAACCGAGATGATGAAATGACCAACCTTCATCCGTTAAACTTTTTTACAAAACTCTCGACCTGTTTGCGGAGAAGAACGTAAACGTTAATAATGCTTCTCAAACCGACCTGACCACCAGTTCACGGATCTCCAATAGACATGCGGTAGGATAGAAACAAAACGCAAGTAGAAACTAACACAAATTGTACCCACTAAATATAATCAACTCAGAAATAACTCCTAAAACCACTGAATCAAAACTAACCTGATAATACGGTAACTCCGCTTTCTCTCTATAGGCAAGACTTGGCATATTTGGATCGTTCATCGGTATATAGTACGTATTTTCTATCAAGCAATAATCCCTTGTGTATTCCACCCAACCTTGAATCAATTTACATATGATTAGTAATAAGTTTAAGGGCGTTGTAAATTAAAAAAAAAGCCAGAATTAGAACTCGCTTGCCTCCTCGAAACTCCGCTGGTGTCCAGCAAATGATTTGGTGTGCCCATGTAGAGCTGAAAATTTCAACACTTCGTGCTATACTCGGGTATGTAATTAGAAATTCGGAGCTCTGATTTATCCCTATAATTTGGCGCCGTGCCTTGGGCGAGGAGAGAGGGGTAGGGAGAAAAAGCGGGCATCGAAAACTGCTTGGTAGAGAAGCCGTAGAGAGTGCAGAATCGCAGGTAGGGTGAACAAGAAGCGGTCAATTCCTACCCCTAGGATACCTTTTCACCCTAAGGTGAATGTTAAGCCTCAATTACTGTAAGTTAGTCACTCCCTCCAGTATCCGATGGGTAGCACTTGGGGTCTAGAATCCGTTATTTTTTCGGACTTGTACGATTTCCTAAACCGTTTCACCAGAGGCAGTTGTATCAATTTATAACGGAGGAACTTATGTCGATCATTCCTTCTCGCTATTATTTCATAAGTGCGGTTAATTTATCATCAAAACGCTTTGGTACCCAGAAAGTGCAAATAAGACCAAAGCCCCACGCCAGGAAAACCAAACACCCCAGGTCAAACCCAACTCCGAAGGTACCAGAAAATTTTAGCCGATTATTCATAAAAAAAAAATACACTCAGCGAGATTCGAGTCAACTCATGTTCTCGTATCAAGTCAGTGTCCAAGGCGCGACATGGAATAGAGTGCGATCTAAGACCGTGAGAGTGACAAACACATCATCCTGCCCGAAAAACAGGTATGGACCGCAATTATTAAGCAGAGTTGTCTGTACTCATGAACCCTCAAAAATATCATGAAATGGCTTCACCTTGATTGATGATGATGCTGCCGAAGGAGAAGAGGTATGCGGTGAACTGATAATTGACTCGATCGAGGAAATCCTCCTCGAATCTCCTTGTTTGGAGATTCGTCACCACCCTCAGCAGGGTATCCATCGGTTACTGTAACACAGATTTCATTAAAGGCTTTTCTGGTCTTTGCGAATAGGATTTGGATAAGTAGCATCGCTTATCATCGGAACTAACAAAGACAGCCCTACGGTACTATCATTAAGGGGCTCTTAGCAAACATTCAACAAGCCGAGAACTATCAGCAGCGGCTGATTAGAACGATACACACAGCATAAAGTCACCCAATTTAAAATAACAGGTCACGGACTGCGTAACTCGAAGAATGAGGGGTCATTTGCGACCGCATAAGGAGATTTCTGAGTAAGGGTGAGGTAAAGGTCGGTCGTCCGCCAAGCGAGGACTGCTTGATAAAATAACTTGCCGACGCAAAATCAAGTTGTCCTTTCCGTGAGATAACCCTACGCACAGGGACGTTGAAATTTCAGGAAATGGAGCGCTCTCCAAATCGTTTTCTGAATAGTGGAAGGACTCATGTGTGGAACATAGAACCCATGTTCCATTTGTCGTGAACGCCCACCAGGAATGTTAGAACAGCGATGAGAAAAATGGTCCAGAGTTCGATCTCCGGTGATGACTAATTTTTGCTGGGCACCACTCTGCCAACAAAACACAGCTGAGCGCTTTACAGGGTGCGCCAAAATTACGGAGACAGCGACTTCGAGTTGCCTAGGATGAGCAAGGTGCAATTCTTTGAAAACAAAAATGCAGTGACGTGCACAGTCCCATTCTGAATCGTCGACATCCATGCAATTTTTGAAATTCCTTGGTTTGTGTTTATACGGGTCCTCAGAAACATCGAGGAACCATCGACTGTGGCACGCAATGTGGCGAGTAGGACTCGTCAAGCTCATTTTAGAGCGGTTTCTTCAACGAATCCCTAGACATAATGTGTTTTATGCAAGCCTCAGCTTCTAGAACGGATCCGAGCGTACCCTATCGAGCTCAGATCTGAAATGCTGTTCTACCACCGTTTAAGCCGACAAAGTCGAAAAAATCGGTTCTGCATCAATGCTGCACTAGTACTGAACCACCCTTGCCTCGTAAACGGGAGCTCCTACTTGATGGAAGGCCCAGCAACGATTTTCAAAGTGAAAATAAACTCAGGATAGCAATGGGCTCTGATAAGTCCAAAAGAGCCCCCTGATTCCTATCTCTCGTGACATCCAGTGAAACCAGCGCGTCAACTACCTGCAAATTCTATCGCACACAATCCTTAGATTGTTCGTGGTCGCCACAGAAACACGCCCTTCTCATCCAGAATGACTGCATTCAGCTCCTTGTCCCCTGTACACTGGATACTATTGATAAGTGCTCGGGTATACAGTACTCGCCGTTTGAAATCGAAAATTCACGCGAATAACGCGAATCCTCGTTAATTTCGTGAATTCGTTATAAGTCGGGTCAGAGTGAAGTATTCCAGAAACGGAAAACACCGTTGAACTCAGCTCTTCAAGCGCTACAAGATGGTGCTAAATATTTTCAGAAAGCTTGATTTCGGAATGCGCCATGCACTCGATTTCATCTCAAAAAGTAGTTGCTCGCATGTGATGTGTATATAATCCCGCTTATGCGGGCTAACCGCTACACACAAAGAAGGGCCTCAAAACTTACCCCAGAATGCGCCACGTACTCAATCTCATCCACTACATTGTGAGATTAGATGAATGTTATTTTCCGAATTCTTAGATCTTCATTTCGTTTTTAAGCGCTTACTGCTTTACGTGTTCCCTCTGCTCTCAATATCCCATCCTCTGTATATCAAGTGGAATCTTTGAACAGTTCTCAGCAGGCATAGTGGGCCTATTATGTGACATTTTCCATTTTCAGAGGACATGTTTTGCAGAAAGCTGTGAAGATAGCGAACAATTTCCTTCACTGTCGTAGACTACGGTCACTTGTCTGTAAGGATTATATGGAAACCTTGGTCGCAGGTGAGCGTTTCTTCCGTGGTGTGACCCCAAACATCACCCCTTGTCATGCCTTTGCCCCCTATTACGTGACAAGTCCCATTTTTAGAGGAATGTTTTGTAGAAAGCTGTAAAGGAAGCGAAGAATTTCCTTCACTGTCGTAGACTATGGTCACTTGTCTGTAGGAATTATGTGGAAAACTCGGTCGCAAGTAAGCGTTCCTTCCGTGGTGTGGCCCCAAACATGCCTCCTCGTCATGCCTTGTGGAATGTTCAGATTTTTTGCATTTCCAGATGAACTCGCAGACCTGAAATGTGCCCCGTTAGCTTTCCCGTGAAAAATGCTATCGAATGATATGCATTACTTCCCCAGTTGAAACTTTGGTTTTTCACCGTTTTCAGCCTTCCCCTATTGCCGGATCACTATCCCACGATTACTGCCCCAAAATCTCAAAGTTTCATTTTTCGTCGAAACTTTGTCTATTGGGGTAATTCGATGCCCTGATTACGAATATGACATTCATTTTTGATGCTGGTGTCAGCTTGGCGCCATTTGGCGCCGTTTGGCGCCAATTTGGCGCCACAGTTGTTTTCACCAAATCTGCTGAAACTTCGTCATTTGTTGTTATTTGGGGTCCTGATTACGAAAACGACACTCATTTTTGATGCTGG